AAAAAAAATTAAAAAAAAAAATAAAAAGTTAATAAACAATTTTTATATAAAAAATTTCATTAAAACTTATTGCTATACAAACAAACTATATAAAACATTAAAAATGCACCGGCACCAGCAATCAATTCTTTTAAAACATAGGTCCATCTTATTGATTTAGTTCTTGGGAATGATGTTTCAAATACTAAAGTTGGTGCAACCATAAAGTATAAAAAGTGTCTAAAACTAATATTTGGTGTTAAATCTACTCTTACCACTTTACTTTTTGCTTTATCCAAACCTTTAGTCAAGAAATAATTTGTATGCCAATATGAATGATTCTTTAATGAATATACACAAATTTGTAAACCTGTTCCACCACTTAAAACTAAAATAAAGATGATTAATAAAAAATGTTTCTAAATAATATATTATATTTTTTTATTACTTACTTGGCGACATTTCATGAGCTAATACAAAAGAGATCGAACCTGCAAAACAAACAAATTGCCAAAATACATAAAGAAAAATTGAAACCCCACTTGGTATACGATGTTTAGCAAATTGTCTGGTGCAGAAATAATTAAAAAAAGACCATGTTGCCAATCCAAGTGTCACATATATTAATACCTGATAGTTAATTACTAACCACCAAAATAATTCAAAATCTACAAGAGTTCCTTTATTAATATATGAATCGGCCATCATTGAAAACCCTGCCATTACATAACAAATTGCAATATAATTAAATGTTCCCCACCCAATATCAGATTCATTTGGGGTTCTAAATAAATGAGAAAAAATTAAAAAAATTAATAATTGTTGTTATAAATAAAAAAAATATATTTAATAATATCTAATAATATACATACGTTAAAATACTTTCTCTTGGCTTTGACATTGCTGAAAATCTTTCTAATGATGGTGAATGTGGTGGCAATTTATCTACTTTTAAAGTTGAAGTGGTAGAAAATTGTTCTATAGTTTCTGTAGTTTCATTATTGTCATGTTTATTTGAAGTTCTTTTTTTTTTTGAAGAACCCGAAGATTCAGTTTTCCTTTTTTGAAATATTGTTTTAGATGATGAATTTTCTGTTTCGATCATCATTGATTAATATTTTAAAATTTTAACAATATATTAAAAAAATCTTTAAATTAAAAAAATTAATAATTTAATAAATTAATAATAATAAATAAATTTATACATACATATTTTACCAAATTAAAAAAAAAAAAGTATTAAAATTTGAATTATATAACTATTGTTATATAGTATTATTGTATAAATGGTGGTGTTGTTATTTGATTGTTAATAAAAGAAAATAAAAAATTAAATTAAAAAAAAAAAATTTATAAATTTATGAATTTTTATTAAAAAATATTATTTTAATTTTTTTTTTTTTTTTAATTTTTAATTTAAATTAATTTAATTTTCATAAAAAAAAAAAATAGTAATAATTTTGTAGAACCATAATTCCTTTTTTTTTCATTTAAAATATTTTTCATAAAAAAGTAATAATATGATAAAAACATTATAACAATGGTTAGTAAAATAAAATAATAATGGATTTTATTAATAAATCGATTATTAAAATTATTTAATCACTCAATAATAATATATTATACTTTTAAAGAAAAAAAATAAAATAGGTAAAAAATAGATATTAATAAAATTACTTTGGTTTATCTTATTTCCATTCCACTTTAAAACAATAAAAAAATTAAATTTACGATTATTTTTTTTTTTTTTTTTTTTTTTTATTTTAATTTTTTTTATTTTTTTAATTTTTTTTTTTTTAAAAATTTATTTTAATTTTGTTTAATAAACGAGATACATTATAAATAACTACAATAATAAAAAATAAAAGAATATTCATAAATTAAAATTATCAGTTTTTTTTTTTTAAAAAATTACATATAAAATAAATATATAAATTAAATAATGGCTGCTAAATTACTCGCAAAAATTATTTTTACCACTGGTTCAGTATTAGTTAGATCAGTTACAATGGCCTATAAACAAGCCATTTTACGTAAGTAAATTAATATAATTGTTCAAATTCAAAAGATTATTATAGAAAATTTACTAATTCACTAAACTCATATAGAGGCTGAAAATGGTATGGGTGCAGCCGCTGCAAATTTAGATGTTAAATCAAAAATGTCACCAATCGAAGCAAAAAAAATTTTAGGTTTAGATAATAAAGATAAATTTACAATTGAAGATATTGAAAATGTATTTATATATATATATATACAACCCTTTAGAAACCAAATTTTATACTAATAATTATTTTTAAATATTATAGAAACATAAAGAATTAATTGATATAAATAATCCAAAACAAGGTGGTTCAGAATATTTACAAATTAAAATTTCAGGTGCGAAACTTTGTTTAATAAATGAATTAAAAAATAAATAATATAATATATAGTATAATAATTAATAATACAATTAAAAATAATTTTAAAATCAATAAACTAGGTTTCATTTTTTTTTTTTTATAAAATTAATACATAGAACAAATTAATAAAAACAATCTTTTTTTTTTTTAATAAATAATTTATTTTTTATTTTATTATTTTTTATTTTTAATTTTAAATCTTATACATTGCTATTATTATTATCGTTATTCGTTTTTATTAAATCATTTAAAAAAATTGAAAATGTTTGTAAAATTTGTTTTTCTTTTTTAATATAGTTTTCTTCGCTGTCATCATTACTTATTTTATCATTATTGTTATTTATATTATTATAATTAAAAATATAATTATTACTATTATTATTATTATTATTATTATTATTATTATTATTAATTTCACTATTATTTACTTCATTTAATGATTCTTCTTCGCAACGTAATGAAATGTTTTTATCTAAATTGTTAATATTTGAAAATTTTTTATCTAAATGATTATAACTATTTTCTCTTTCATTATTAATATTTTCTTTTGCTATATTTAAAAACTCTAAACATAAATCTTTAATTTTTTCATTTAAAAGTAATGAATTAATTTGGCTATAAAAAAAAGAGGAAATTAGTTTAAAAATTATATTTATATTTAAATAAAAATTCTACATACCCTGAAAATGATTTTGTTTTTAATTCACTTTTAAACATTTTCAACAAATTCTTATTTTTTAAAGTATAGTCCTCATCTTGATTTATTATTTCATTATTATTTGAGAGTTTTTGTTTTTTATTTGAATTTGTTGCATTATTTTGAATATTATTTACAATGAAATTTTGTGGTTGTGTTTGTGATTGCAGTTGTTGATGATATTGTGGCTGCTGTTGTTGATGCTGCTGTTGTTGTTGTTGTAAAAGTAAATGTTGTTGTTGGTTAAATTGTAGGTGATGTTGTAGTTGTAATGAGTCAACTGAATGTGTAGTGACTGGGTCGTAATGGGTTGTTGTAGTTGTGGTGGTAGTGGTTGCTGTTGGCGGTGGTAACATCATATTATTAAATTGTTGAGGCTTTTTTTTATTCTTTTTATCATTTGATTTACCATTGGAGTGGTGATGGGATTGATTTTTACAATCATAACATTTACAATTTTCATTACAAGGTATACCTGCTTGAAAACATTCACAATATTTTTTTAAACATCCACTTTTTCTACAATGACAACCTCTACTGTGTTTATCGATTAATACACTTTGATCATTACCAATCTAAAATATTAAATTTTGATTAGAATAAAGAAATAATAATAATAATAATAATATTAATAATAATAAAAAAAGTGTTACATTTTGATTAATTTGAGATTGTTTTATTTTTGGATTAAAAGCATCGGGATTTCTTTCTAAAGTTTGAGATCTAGCCCTTTCTACCTTTTCTATATTTGCTTCATTGTTTTGACAACCAAAACATTGACAGTTATTACAAAGTATTTTATTTGCAAAACATTCGCAATACATTTTTAAACATTTTGAGTTCTTACAATGACATTTTTTACATTGATCAGCTATATTATTTGATGATGATGAAAGTGATGATGATGGTGACGGTGTTGATGATAGTGATGATATAATTTGTTGTTGAATTGGTAAAATAGTGGTAGTAGTGTTACTATTATTACTATTATTAAAACTTAAATTTATATTATTTGATGTTAAAATTTCATTATTTGTTTTTGCTAATGATGTTAATGATAGTGATGCCTCTATTGATTGTGTGTCTGATGAATCATCAATTGAACTACTATTATTAATATTTATATTATTACTATTATTATTATTCATATTATTCATATTATTCATATTTATTATATTATTATTTAAATTATTAATAATACCTCCATTGGATTTATCTAATAAAGAATTATCATTACAACCAACACTATTTATTATCCCAGTACTTTCCATAATTTAAATAAAATTATTATTATTATTTATTAGTTTTTTATAGTTTTTTGTTGTTATTGTAAAATAATGTGATTAGATAATAAATTTTATAAAATATATTTTTATTACTTTTATTTTAAATAAAACATATATATATTATTTAAAAATAAATTACTAGGCTATTTAGTTATAATTTATACCTAAGCGCCTTTTATCAATACATCCAATATAAAAAAAATAAAAATTTAAAAAAAATTCATTTTTGAATTTTTTTTTTTTTTTTTAAATATTTTTTAAATTAATTTTATTTTTTATTTTTTTTTTTTAAATTACATTTTTGGTAATATTCCAAAATTATTATAATTAATCATGATTATTTATTAAAGGAGTGAATGCACTATTATTATCATTTTCGTGATTTTTATTTTTATTGTTTATTTTCTTTTTATATTTTAAAATTAAATAAACTGCAAAAATTAAAGCTATACCGGTTGAGCCAATTATTAAAGCTATTTTCCAATTTTGTAAACCTTTATCTTGATTATTATTATTATTTGACGGATTATAAAATTTTAAATATAATTGATTACTTTCGAAATAGGTTGTAAAATTTAAATTTAATTGATTATCAATATTTAAAAATTCTATTTTTATATTATTAATATTTTGATTATTATTATTATTATTATTATTAAAATTTATTAAATTTAGTTTATCATTTTCGAGTGGCATTTTAAAATTATTATTTAAATTTATTAATATTTTAAAAATTGAATTTATTATTAAATTTCCCAAAATATTTATTGATGGTTGATTGTTGTTAAATTCCAATTCATTTAAATGAATAATTGAATCATTGCCAATGATTAAATTATTTTCAACTGTAAGGTTAGGGTAATCTAAAAATAATCTACTTTTATTATTATTTAATTCGATTGATGATACCAATATTGATTCTAAACTATTAAATCTAATAAGAGATAAATCTTTTTCATTTTTTTGACCCTCTGTTAAAATACTCGAATATACATTTGATCTTGAAAATAATAAAGAATTTCCTAATAATAAAATTTGATTAGATTCAAATGATTCATTTAAATTTAAAATACCGTTTTCAATAATTGTATTTGAAATATTAGATGGTAAATTTAATTTTAAAGATGAATTATTATTAATTAATAATTGAATATTATTATAATTTATATTATTATTATTATTATTATTACTATTACTATTACTATTACTATTACTATTACTATTACTATTACTATTACTATTACTATTACTATTACTATTACTATTACTATTATTATTATTATTATTACTATTACTACTATCACTACTATTTTTATAATTATCACTAATATCATTATTATATTCAGTATTATTAATAGTTATTAATTGATTAATAATGGTATGATTTAAAATATTTACAGATAATGAATTATAATTTATTTGATTTGATACTATTGTTAATTGATTTATATATGATTTTTTACCAGAAATAGTAATATTACCATAACTAATAATATTATAATTATAAATTTGTGTGCTGTTTATAAATGTTGTTTCATGATTATCTCTAATAACTATATTTCCATGACCCAGAGTTTTTTTAAAGCCCATAAACAAATAACCAGAGGATATATCTAATGTACCACCATAAAGAATAAATTGTTGGTTTGATAAAATTTTATTTTCCATCGATTCACTAATAAACACAGTTGCATTCTCTTGAATAATTAATAAACTTGGAGTAAATATAATTTTTAATGTTGAAATATCTATAAAAATATTTTCTGATACTATTAATTGACCCATTAAAAACTCCAATACATTAATATTCGATTGATAAGAGTTAATTGTTGTATCCCCTGTAATTTGAAGTGTACTATTACTGGAAGAAATTAATCTACCATTTATTTCGATATCACCATTAAAATATAATGATCCATCCAATTGTATAGTTGAATTAATAGAATGACCATTTTTTATAATAAATTTTGAATTTTCATAAATTATTATTTGCTGATTTTCTTGCTCATTTGATATACTGAAATTATTAATTGTAAAAGTTGGTGAATTTATTATTAAGTTTGTTTGAAATAAATGAATGAATGAATTATTTGAAATAATATTATTTTCTAAATGTTGATTTGAATTTAATATTGTAAAATTAATATTATTGATTTCTATTTGATTATCAACTTGTAAATAAATACTATCAAATATTAAATTTACTTGAATATCATTTGTTGTGGTATTTGTTGCTGTTGAATTTAATTCACCATTAATATAAATTGAATCCAATAATTGTAATGTTTGATTTGAAAATATTAAATAAATTCCTTCGCCTAAATAATCATTGACTGTTGAAAAATCAATTACTACACTATCATTACTATATTTTGGTGCTCTATTATTCTCCCAAACTTTATTTGATGATAAATCACATGGATTATATTTGGTACAATCGTTTATAATAGAATTGTTAAATTGAATATTATTATAATAATTATTATTAATTGAACAATTGTAATAATTTAAATTTAATATTAAAAATATAAATAAAAAAATGCTTTTTAAAAACACTAAAATAAACAAAAAAAAAAATATTAATAAATAGTAATAATAAATAAATGTTATATGATTTTATTACTTTTAATTTTAGTTTTTTTTTTTAAAACAAATGAAAAAAAATTTTAAAAATAAATTGATTTTTTTTTTTTTCTTTGTTGCCGAAAAAAAAAAAAAAAAAACTGATATCTTTATAAAACAGCAATGATTTAATATATTTTTTTTTTTTTTTTACACAAAAAATTAAATATTTACTTTTATAAAGAAAAATAAATAATATTTTTTTTTTATTTTATTTTATTTTATTTTATTTTTTAAAAAATTTATATAAATTTAGAATTTTTCGAATAATGGTTGATTTTTTAATTTATCCTTCTTTTCTTGTAAAATTTTCTTGAGAGCAATTTCATTATTTTTAGCAATAGCATCTTTTTCGAGTTGTTCTAAACGAGCAATTTCATTCTTTTCAGCCATGATATCTAGTGCAAAGCATAAACCAATAATCATAACACCGACAAGACTTAATAATACTACAAGAGTTGTGCCATCACTAGTTGATCTAAGAACTGAATTAATTACATTATATTTGAAGAGATTGTTGTAAAATACTTTTCCATCTTGACCACCAAATACTAACATTGTATTAAATAAGGTTGCAACTGCAGTGTGTCCTGATCTAGCCTCTGGTCCCAAACCTGATGCTGATGAAATAAAATCCCATTCTGTGGTTGCTAAAATTTTGATAAAAAAAAAAAAAAATTAATTTAAGTGTTTTTAAAATAAAATTTAAAAATCTTGTAAACTTACAAAGGTCAAATTTATAAATTGAAGTTGAGGCAGCAGTACTTGATTGATTACCGCCATAAATTAAAACAGTATTCATTGGAGTTAAAATTGCAGTGTGACCATATTTCTTTTCTGGATTTCTACTTGTAGAATTTAATGTAACATTGATCCATCTATGTTCCTCAACATAGAAAATATGTAAATCATCAAAGATTGTTTCATTATTTTGGAAATTTCTACCACCATAAATAACCATGTGATTTGTTAAAGTAAGAGTTGAAGTATGTAATGATCTTGCTTTTGGTGAAAATTCTGAACCACCTGGAGTCATTGTAATCCATGTATCATATTCGAAATCATATCTAATAATATCATCTAAATATCCACCTTCTGTTGTTGATTGCCCACCAAAGAAATAAAAAGAGTTTTCTGTAGAATATGAAACACCACTATGACCCCATCTTTTACTTCCATTAACCGAAATCTTTTCCCAAGTATCTTTTTCTAAAAATTATTAAATTAATAAAATTATTTTTTATTATTTATTTAATATTATAATAAATTACCCATATCATATTTGAAAATATCACCAAAAACTTCATTTTCATTTCTTCCACCATAAATATACATTTTATTATCTAAAGTTGTTAATGCTACATGACCATAACGTGGTGAAGGAGCATTTTCAATACCTGAAAAATTAAGTGGTGTTCCCCATGAATCTTGAAGTATATCATATTTAATAAATGTTGACGATGCATTACCTTTTGGTGTAATACCACCTAAAACCAACATTGTATTATTAACAGGATTTAAAACTGCTGTATGGAGTGAAACTTTTGGTGCATTTCCACTATTTGAAACTAAAAATGCAATCCATGAATCAGTTGCAAAATTGGCTATAATAATTATTAATAAAAAAAAAAAAAGTAAACAAATGTTAAAATGTAAACTGTATATTTTTTATTTTTAAAAAAAAATAAATAAAAAAAATAAAAACTTACTTGTACTGTATACAGTAAATATAAATGTAATAAATAAAACTACTGATAATTTTGAGTTTACCATTATAAAAAAAATATATATAATATTAGATATATATTATAAAAAATTATATATATAAATAATTTTTTTTCAAAAGATTTTTTTTAAAAAAAAAAAAAAGAAAATTTAAAAAAAAAATTAAAATTTTTATTTTTTTTTATTTTTATTTTTTTATTTTTCACAACAAATCAAAAAAAAAATAAAATGGTGAATAACGATTTTTTTGATGGTTTTAAAAATAAAAATATTTTTTATTTTTTTTATTTTTTTATTTTTTATTTTTTTTATTTATACATTTAATGATTTAAAGATTTTGGGAGGTTAACATAGTTTTTATAGGCATCAATATGATTTGGTGGAACTGGATATAATGAATTACTGCTATGGGATTGAAGATAAGATTGATAATAAAAAGTTTTAAGTTCATTTTTTGTAATCTCTTGAATACTCGAAGTGGATGAAGATTTCCTTTGATTTGAAACTCCCATACTATTACTTAAATTATTATGTTGATGATTGTGATTATGGTTATGATTATAACTTTGATTATGATTATAGTTATATTTATGATTATTATTATGTTTATCGATATTATGATTATTATTTTGGTTGTTATGGTTATTATGGTTGTTATTATAATTATTAAAATTATTTTTATGTAAATCATGTTGATATTTGTAGTTTTTATTTAAATGAGGTGAAACTGGTAATGAAGAGGATAAAGGATTGTAGTTATTATCTATATTTTCTAAATTATCTTTATTATTTTCATCATCATCACTTGTATTTGTTTCGAATAATTTATCAATTAAAGTTAATGGTCTTTTAACATTATTATTATTATTATTATTTATAAATGGATTTTTTGGTTTTTCATTATTTAAATATTCTTTATAAAATTTGATACTATATTCATCTTGACTTGTGTTTTCTAAAGGATTGATACAGGGATAACTTGTATATTGTTCAAAAGTTTCTAAATCGAAATTACTTGTACCTAAATGAATTCCAAAATGTTTTAAAGGTTGATTAAAGTTATTTTTATAATATTTTGTTTGATTATTTTTAATAGGTGTTGTTGTTATTGGTTTTTTCTTTTTAATAATTTCGTCATCTTTTTTAAATACTGGACTATTATTTCTTTTTGATAATGATACTACCCAACGTTTAATATCATATCTTTTTGTTTCATCATCATCACCATTATTATTATTATTATCATTATTATTATTATTATTATTAATATTATTATTATCATTATTATTATTATTTGTACTATTATTTTCGTTTATATTATTATTAATAATATTATTATTTATATTATTATTTATATTATTATTTATATTATTATCTAATTTATTTTGTGGTTGAAAAAATTGTGGAAATTGGTTATCTGTAATTAATTTTTGTTGTAAATATGGACCTTGTCTATTTTGATTTTCTATTGTTATAGATAATGGTGAGGATTGATTTCTAAAACGAATTGGATCATTAAAACGATAACTGAAATGTTTTTCAATTAAAGTTAATCTATCATTTTTATAAAAGGTATCTTCAAATTCATAAAAAGATTTTGCTTTCATCATTTGGATCATTGAGGATTTTGAAGATAAATTGTACAATAGTGAACTTTTTTGAAATTGTAATAAAGGTTCATCCCACCAATTTGTATCTGCTAGAATTAAATGTTGAAGTCTACTTGTAATATTATGCAAATAATGATCAGTTTCTAAATTCCATAGTGCTATAGTCTCTGGTGCTTTTGAAGGTACAAAATAACCTAAAAATAAATTGATAGAGTGTTGTTTATCTGCGTCAATAAATGAGTTACTGATATATCTTTTGATGGCATTAACTAAATCACGTGATTGTGATGATAAAGAATGTTTTGTATATGTTTTAATTGTATTTGCTAATTCTGAACCACCATATTGAAGTGCAATTTGATTACCACATGCTTCATACATATCAATTAAAACTTGAACAATACCAGTGTTAAAATCTAATGATGGACTTTCCAATAAACCCATAGAATATAGTTGATAGGCCAATGCACATTTACCAATACAAAATTGTGCAGCATTGGTACGATCTAGGGAATCAATACAATTAGTTCTAACCACACCAATTTGTTCACTACCAATTTCAAATAAATTGCTATTACAATTGATATCTTCTGTTGTAGTGTTTGAATAGTTTTCTCTTAGGAAATTACAATAAAGTTTTGAATGTGAATAAAAGATATTGGTTTTTAAAATGGATTGATTTGAGAATGAATCTAGCCATGCCATATGATCTTGATCTTTGGATTTAGCAGCTTGATGGAAATCCCATGCTTGGTAATGAATTTTATGTTTTTCTGGTAACATTTCGTTTAAAGTATTTATACAATGAGTAAACTCTTCTCTTAATATTGATTCTCTTGGTTTCTTTTCATTTGATTTCACTAAATTTAGAATTATAATTGGTGAGCCAAATTTTCTGAATAGGTCTTGAAAGTGTAAAATAGTTGAGCCAAAGTAAGGATCCACTCTTTGAATTTTAATTGGTGGCTTAGGTGTCATAATATTATTATCTTGTTCCCAATATAACGGAATTGAGCCACGTATTTGAACAAATGAAGAGAATTGCGCTTTGCTTGAGATACCGGTTAATGGTTCTTGTAGAATCTGTTCAGTTTCGACATCATTGGCCACATGGCCATTCTCATTGATACCCCTTTTTAGAAATCTTGCACCAGCATAATAACGTGATCTTCTAGCAATTAAAATTAAATCTAAACCTTTACCAAAAATATCAATTTTATCTTGAACATAGAAACCATGAATAATTGGCAATACCCAGTACCATGTCTTTGCTTGGTCAACTAAATTTTCTAATAAAAACTGATTCCATGTAAATTGATCATTATAATACACTTTTGCTTTGTTGGTTTGTTCGTCACGTTGAATATTTTTTGGAATGGGTGAATGAAAATACCTTGTCATATTGTATTGCAAACTTCTTGTTATATCGTAGGTATAACTAAAATAAAAATCTTTGGTTAAATCTAAACTAAGAAATAGGCCTTTATAACGAGTTTCATCTGCGAATTCTGGTGAGTTGGTCCTTGGAAATGATGGTGGTATATAAACATAGGTTATATCATCGATGCCATAAACGAAATGAGTTCCAATCATTCCAACTTTACGTTTCTTTGTAATTAATATAATATAATATCCATGTAAAAATCTAATAAAACCTAAAATACCATATGCTGAGCATAGTCTTGTTAAACCTTCTTTATTTGCATTACCAATCATTGTTAATAAATTTTGAATCTCTTGTTTGTTATAATCGGTTGGATCTTCTGAAATTACAACCTCATCTTCATAAGTTCTATCTATTTTTAATACTTTAAATCTATTTTTAGTTCTATTTGACCCAACTAAATAAAATCTCTAAATAATTTAAAAATTAATATTGGTTTTTTTTTAATTTTTTTTTTATTAATTTATAATTACAGTTTTAGTTTCATATAATACAAATCTTTGAAGTGAAAAACATGTTGGTGGTATAATATAGTTATCATTTTCTTGTTTTTGATAGGTTAAATCATCCCAGAATGATGGGCTATTGAACGATGAACTATCTTCTGCAGTTGTTACATTTTCTTCAAACTTTTGATCTTGTTTGTTTTTATCAATTTTAATATTATTATTAATTAAAACTGATTGATTATTAACTTTTTTATTCATTTAAATTATTAATTAAAAGAATAAAAAAATTATTTTTGAAATACAATTGTTTGGTTATAAAAAAAATGTTTTAAAAAATTTAAAAAAAAAAAAATGTTTTAAAAAATTTAAAAAAAAAAAATAGTAAAATTAAAAAAAAATAAAAAGAAAAGATTTTTAAATTTGAAAAAAAAAAAAAAATTTAAAAAAAAAAAAAAAAAATTTAAAATTTCAATTAAATAATAAATTTATATTTGCAATGCTTTTACAATGAATAACAATCATTTTAATCTTTAAATAAATAAAAATAATCCTTTTTATATAAAAAAATTTTTTTTTTTTTTTTTTTTTTTTTTTTGAAAATTATTACCCTTCTTTTATTTTTTTATTTTATATTATATTATAAAAAATATATTATATTATAAATATTTTGATTTTGATTTATTCTATTAAAAAATACTAATTTGTTTTGTGTCTTTTCTAGAATCGTGTTTGTTCTTTCAATAATAAAGATATTTATTTATAATAACTGTTAGATATCTCGGATTCTAACATATTAATAATATTTTTATTAATAACGTTCTATAAATTTATTAATTTTTAAAAATTAATTTGTTTTTTTTTATTAATTTTTAATTTTCATTTTTTAATTTTTTAGAACAAATATAATAAAAGTAGTAATCACACAATTATAATAGTATTCGAAGATTATTACAATAACAATTATTTTATAAATTACATGAGTTAAAAATAGACTCACCCAACATCAACCAATTTTAATATTTAAAATAATTTTTTTTTTTTAACATAAAAATTTCAAAAAAATTAAAAAATTAATATTTGAAATTTTTATGTTAGAAAAATTAAAAAAATTTTCCTTTATAATTTTTTAATTATTTTAAAAAAAAAAAATTTCTTTTTTTATTTATAATAATTCAAATAAACTCTTGTGTTTAAAATATTATTAAAGAATTAAAAAAATTGTATAAAAAATAACAAAGTATAATAATTGTTTTTATATCTATAATTATTAATAAAAGATTGTGCAACAAAATAGCTATTTTGGAAGTAATAGTATTATAAAATATATTTTTTTTTGTGTGTTATTATCTCAACAGTATGGAAAATTTTCAAACAAAATTGATTTAGTATGAATTTAATTTTAATTAATATTTTGAAATAATTTCAAACAAAATGACTAATACATTTTTTTTTAATAGTAAAAAAATGAATGCTATCAAGTGTTCTGTTTGTTCAGGTATTATTAAGAAACCTCAAAAATTAAAGCCTTGCGAACATAGGGTCTGTTTGGAGTGTCTTCAAAGCTCAATAAAAAGTAGTTTAGATCCTAGCGTCCCGAAATGCCCAGTATGTGTTCAAGTTATAAAAAGTTTCTCCTTGGATGAATTTTTAAATGAATTGGTAGAAGATTATTTTCAGAGTTTAAGACGTTCGTGCGATTTACATCCAGGTGAAACGTACTCTCCTATGAGTCTATTTGACAATACATCAGTCTGCAAGAAATGTATAGTCGAAAAACACAATGGTCATTCAATGGTAGATGCAGAAGGCTCAGAGGAGATCAAAGAAAATATTAAGAAAAAGGTCGAAACCGAAAAGAGGGAACTAGTTCCAGAAATTTTAAATAAACTGCGGGACAGTTTAACAGATTGTAAAGAGAAATGGGAAAAATCAAAACAAAATGGTCTAATAAAAACACAAATGGTGTATGCTGATTTACACAAATTCTTACAGATAAAGGAGTTTGGTGACAAGAAAAACATTGATGATGCAAACTCAACTATTAAGCTTGAATACGACAATTATATTAAAAAAATTGATCAAATGAAAAAAGATATAGAGCTATTTGCCAAATTAGAACCATTGGATATTAAAAAAGATATATATGGCACAATTTTTTTATTAAAAAGAATTCAAGAAATCGACCCATTAATAAATGAGGGCAAGAGACAAATTATATCTATTCCAGAGCACGCAAATAAACTCCATTTCAACCAAGAAATCTTTCAAGAAATCAAATCTTTATCTAAATCTTTGTCTGTACCATACAATTGTAGCTGTGATAGCATCGAAACTGATTGTCAATGTTATCAAGAATACTGGAACAGTCCCAGTTCACAATTTTCTAAAGCATTAATTCCTCTCTTAAATCCTAATCCCCTCAATATTTCCCTTTCCTCTTCATCATCATCCACAAAAAGTTACGAACCACACTCTAATTGCATATATAAATCAATGCTCGAAAACATTCCAAAAACCTCAGCTCCACCACAAATAAATTCATTTTCACCAGATTTCAAGGAAACAGTTCAAAAAGTGGAACAAACAAAAGTAAAAAGTGGAACAAACGAAAACAAAAAACAAGATTTTGTTCCAAATACAATTCCAAAAATTAAATGCTTATATTTCTTGTGTGGTATGGAGGAAAAGTTACATTTATCTCGTTGTATTAAATATTACCCGGTTAGAAACGAATGGGCTTTCATGCCACCCACAAAACATAAAAGAGCTTGTGTTACAGACGCCACTGTAGTTGCCAAACATTATATATACGTGTTCGGCGGTAACAATTCACTCGAATCTTATGAAAAATTTAATATTATAACTGGTCGTTGGGAAAAAGGTGGTAATATCCCATCTGGTGGAGGTTCATCAATTTCTGCAGCTTATGATGGGCAAGACTCAATTTATTTAGTTGGTGGTGTCAAATTCAATGTTTCTTCAGATAGAATTGATAGATGTATAATCAAACATGGTGGAACTGGCAAAGAACCAACCCTCCAATTCCAATTGGTTACCAAAATGAAGTTTCCTAGATACTATTGCTTCACATTGGTCCACGATAAACAACTCTTTATTATTGGTGGTACCGATAAAACCAGAGATAATCCAAAGTTTACCGTTATTAACAACATCGAAGTTCTCAGTTTTGAAACCAAAAATACCACCATGTTTTTAGATTATCTCGATGCTCACAACAACAGAGTTGAAGGTATTGCTTTTGATGGTGTCTTCATCTACATCATGACAATGGAACACTTTTACACCTTAAATATCCATACTAAATTAAAAGGCAAATATTTAGAATACCCTCCAATAGAGAACATGAGATTTGGGTACTCTTTGACCATCGGTACTGACTGTAATTCAGATACTGTCATCTACCTTATTGGTGATAGATTGAATCATTATTATTATAAAATTAAAGAAAACAAATGGTATACACAACAATCAAGAAGACCAATCGCCTCTTATTTTCATGGATGTGGAATCGAATATGAAGAACTCAAGAAACAGGGGGGAGATGATGGCGAAAAAGAAAAAAATCTTTTTCATGAAGAGATCGAAAACCAGGGGAAGTGATAGTGAAATCTCTTTCCATAATCAATAATCAATGCAGTATTTTCAATATTGTTTTGACTGGGCCTGGTAAAAAAATATTTTTTATAATATCCTTTATATATTTTTTTTTTCATATAATAAAATTGGTTCATAAATTTAAAAAAGATAAAAGTTTGTAATATTTAATAAATAAAATAATTTAATTTATTTTTTTTTAATTTTTTTAAAATTTTTTTTTTGCGATAGGTCAAATCTTTTTTGAAAGTTTATAAATATTTTAGTTTTTTAAAAATAATTTTTTATTTTTGATATTTTAATTGAAAATTTTCAATATTTTGTTAAACCACCTCTATTTTTAATTAATTCATTGGTTTTTTTTTTAGGGATTGGTTGATATAAATTAATAATAGTTTCTTGTTAAATACCATACATATTTTCCTCAATTTAAAATCCACTTGAGAATGCTCTTTAAGTTTATGAACTAAACGTTTTTTTAACACGCACAATAAATTTTCAAATATTTTTGAGGTCTAGAGAGTATTTTGGGATCAATATGACATCAATTCCATTGTTTTTGTTAAATTTCTGAAAATTTTCAAAACTATTAATTGGACAGTTATCTTGTAAAACTTTAATATCTTAAACATTAAAGTAATTACAACAATTACAACTCAATCACTAGACATTATTATTAAATTTGAAATCCCATTATGAACTATTTAATTTGTACTATTATTAATCTTTTAATATGGCTAGCTTATTTCCTTTAGTCTATTTTTATTTTATTAACTATCCTAAAATCCAAAAGAATAATAAATGATTATACTTTTCCTATTTCTATTTACTAAATTTTTTATTATATCTTTATTAAAATCTTGTTGTTGTTGTTGCGGTTGTTGTTGTTGTTGTTGTTGTTGTTGTGGTGGTGGAATATATTTATAATTATAATTTAGAGCTAAAGTTATGTATCAAAAACATATCTAATAAATTTACAAATTTTTATTATTATTATTGGTTTGATTTATAAACCTAATATAACTTGAAAAAGTGCTATTTGTTGCCACATCTGATATAAATATTTAATACAAAATAAAAAATGTTTAAAAATGCTAAGCATTAGCTTGACCTTTTTTATGTATATCGTCATTGATGATGATAAACAATGTTTATATTTAATTGTTTTTTTAAATGTTTTATTATTTTTATTTATAATTTATAATTTAATATTAAAAAATAAAAAAAAATAAATTAAAAAACTAAAAAAGAAAAAAAATACATTTTTTATTTTCTTAAATGTTTATTTAATAAATTTATATGTATAATAAACTATTTTTTATTTAAAATTTTTTTTTTTTATATAATTTTAATTTTTGATTATTTTAATTAATTTTGATTATCTATTTTATACTCTAAAACCTAAATTTAATGTAGTTATTATTATTCCTATTACTTTTATTAAAACATTATTTATTACTATTCTTCCATTATTACCATTATTTCTATTACTATTGTGTATAAATAAATAACCTATTCCAAAACCTTTTACTTTTACTGATAAAATTCCGATTCACCTAATCTAACATAATATAATGAAATACAATCGATCCCAATTAAATTCATTCCAACCAATTCCAATTCAACCTAATCGAATACTAACCTAAAAAAGTCATCATTTTTACTTTTATCTTTTTTATTATTATTAACAATCTGTTTTTTATTTATTTAATTATAATACAAAAACTTTTAAAAATTGCCAAATAACAGCAATTTTTATTTTAGATAAATATTTCATCCCTAAATAAACCAACTAAAAGTATTATACCAATCTTAAACATAATTCTAAATTTCTTTTTCACTACAACTACATTTTTTATAGATTTTATTTATTATATTATAAATTTATTTTTATTTATTATTTATCGTTTTTATTTTAATAATAATCAATTTATACTATTATTATTATTAATATTATAACTATGATTGTTTTTATTATAACATTATTTTAGTATTATTCTCCATTATTACTATTATTAATTAAATAATTTATTGCAATACCTTTTACTGTACAATAAAAAAAAATCCAATTCTACCAATCCAATACAAGATACCCTAAACAAATCTAATTTTTACTTTTTTTTTATTTTTTTTTTTTTATTATTACCAGTATGTTTCTTTATAAATTTAAACATTAATAAATCTTTTTTATTTTTTATTTTTTATATATTATATATTATTATTTATTATTATTTTATTTAAAATTATAATCAATATTTATAATTAACATTTATATTTCTTTAATATAAATTCAAATTTTTTTATATACTGTTTTAAATAAAGTAATTGTTTATTAATGTATAACAATTCATAATTGTAATTTATTTTATATTTAGTTTTTTTAATATATTTCACTTTCTTTAAAATATTAAGTTTATTTCATAACTTAAATTTCGTGTTTATATAAAAA